TCATACGTTCATTTTCAGCTAATTTACTTTCTTTTTCAATCATTTCTAAATAAGATGAGTAGACACGATTTGATGGAAGATTCAATTTTTGACCCATTTCTTCAGATTTTGATGGATGACTGCTGAATGCACCACAAACTAATTCAATTTCACCATCCATACAAGCAACAAGTCGGTGAACATAACCAATAAATGCACCGGGGCCACCGCCAATCATGCCCATACGCAATTTTCCACTCATCATATCTAAGATAAAATTAAGAACCAATAATCATATCATACGCTATTGTCGAATAGAGTTGACGTCTCTCCTATGCTAAGGATTACAAACATGTATACTAAAATGATATCTTGTTTTACGACATAAAGTAGTACCCAATTTGCGCTTACCTTATAGGTTCGAATTTTTTCTCCAGACTATTGCGTTTTCTCTTCTATAAGTGGTGTGTTTTATTTGTTACTCCTGCATTTTTTATAATTGTTATTTAATAATCACGATATAAGTAGATGATAAAAATGTTGTGCATGCTCACGGATCTGTTCTTAAACGACAATTTCATATTTTAAAATTTTATCCAAACGATGCGTATTTTTCGTTCTGTTTATAATCAGAAAACAAAACAAAAAACACCATTTTTATCGTATGTCATTTGAGAACACGCTATCACATACATAAATACAGCATGGTCAGATTTATTATATTCAAACAAACAACAAAGTTAGTTGTACTCACATATTTCGAATAGAAATAAAGACTCACATACATTCAACACATATATCTAAGTTTACATACGCTTTTAAACGAATAAAAGAAGTGGAGAGATACATTATCTATTTACGAAATAAAAATAAAAAAGCATCTGTTTTTTTCTATAAATTTTGATATTGTGGAATCACTTGTTGCTGTTGTTGTAGATATAAACTATTGCACGAGAGAAGAAGACATGGAGGGATACAATGGAGGTAGAATGAATTATTATTGTGATATTTGACCTGTATTTGCAGAAATTAATCGTGGTGAAAAACCGAAAAGTGTTGAAGACACAATCGATATCTGAATATATGCTGGATTAAATTGTGTTATCTGTTAATCAGTTTTCCAGTGGATATGTAATTGATTTTGAAATGACTGCTGCAGATTTGGATGATGATGACAATGATATTATTTGCGACATTACTGACGGTGTTAATGTGGTCATTGTCCAAGAAGAAGCATTAGAATCAGTTAATTGTCTCAGTGTTTGAGTTAACAATTCAAGACATTTTTAAAAAAAAGCCATTGAATTCATTAAGTTGAACAAATGATCCGGTTATCAAAGTCAACATTAATCGTTGGACTATTCTAAAAAGATAAAAAGCACTTATGTCAAATATGTAAGTTGGAGTGAAAAAATGTAGCTTATAACATAATGAATCAATCTCAGCCGCGAGAAAAAAGTTTGATTAAATAATTAGAAATGATCCTATAAAATTCTTTATATCAAAACAAAGCGTATCTCATATAGATATTATTATGAAAATTCGATCGACTCACTCTTAATTCTGACTTTTCCAATCATTTTCATTTGATGATGTTCATTCTCATAAAATTATGAAACTTTTTATGAATAATCTATCAATAAATTACAGTATTTTCCAAACATGTCAAGTCAACATATTGTTTTCAAGTAGTAAAAAAGTATTTTTTGAAAATGAGGTAATTTTTTAAGTGTGGTTTAATCAAACGTAAAATGACCACAACTGTTTTAGAAACGAGAGTTAGATTGTGAAACTTTTAAAAAAGTAGGTGGAAAATTTCTCCTGACTGCTTATCTCTGACTTGGAAAATAAAGTCTATTAAAGATACTTAAAGATATTGTAACTCTCCGCTGTGGAGCTGAAATGTTGCAGACAATCAATGTTAGAGAACATGCTCTGAAAATTACTTACTCAAGAATTATTATTTGACAAAAAATATTCAAATCGATCTACTTCTGATGCATCTTCATCAGTTGTAGTTGTCGATGTTGCTGTGGTTGGTGAACTTATATTTGTTAAAACATATTTTCTTGATTATTTATTTCCATCTTTCGTATGATTACTATTATTTCTGCTGATATTCTTGCTGTGGTTTGTATTTGTATTCTGATTGAGTTATACTTATTTTACTTGTATTAGCTAGTATTTTGGTAACTCCAACTAAAAACAAATATCGTTTGATATAACAAAATATTTCCAATATAAATTTATTTATATGTTACCTGAATTATGACTGGACGCTAATTTATCTTCAACATCGGATAAATCCATATCGGTCTCGCAATAGTCTGGCAGTGCAGTGCTTGTAAAACTGAAAAAACCTACAGGTTCAAAACTTCTTTTCATTAATTAATAAACATATGCAGGACGTCTATTTAGAAGATCATTCGTTTAGTAGTAAATTTCATTAGTTCGTATGACATTGTTCAGCCGACGATAGGACATTATCGCCAGTTGGTGATGATGTTGATTCTGGAAGATCACGAATTAAACTACTCAATTTCTTTTTTAATGTAGCTGTTTTATCATTGAAGTTTTTGTATGCCTAAAACAACAAGAACAATAATAAAACTAGTATTTTCTCGTTTATTCTTCTTGCGTTCTTTCAAGAAACAGCATGAGATAAACAAAAATAAAGTTGAACCGTTTTATATACAAACTTCGGCAACAACATTTGCCTTTTGATGCTGAGCATCATAAAATCTTAAGTCTAACTTATCTAAAGTTCATATTTAGAAATTCTAAGACGTATCTTAGTCTCTTTCGAAAAATATGACTCAAGTTTATGGATCCCAAACAGAGTTGACAACTTAAAGAGCTAAGCAACCAGAAGAAAACGTCCAAAAATTAGAAACGTTGGTTTTTCTAAAAAAGAATCTCATTTTTGGTTTATCTATATATTCTTTCTTATCTCTTGTGATTGTTAAAAAGAATTCAAGTTTAACAGTCTGTTTAAAAAAACGGTATTTTTTTTACTATCATACATGTACTATTACAATATAAGAGGAGATACTATAGTTTTGACTGGAATAGAACAAATACAATCTGATTGATAAATTGGACAATATAGTCATGAGTGTGTATTATCAGTTCTTTTTACATAGATCATCTTTAGGCATGCGCCGGTAATTACCGGTATATATTTTCCTCTTTTTCTAAATCAGCTTGACTGAAAATTACAAACTATCAAACTTTCTTGACGACTTGATTCTGTAGAGCAAACATTTTTCTACAAAATGAGGTATGATACAACTCTTTATCTTTTTTCTTTCCCTCATAATGTTTGAAATGAAGAAAAATGTTTACTCTACAAGACACGGTCATAAAAAGAAATTTAGAAGATCATCTTGCTGAATGAAAATTTTTTATAAAAAAAACCCAGAATTGCAACCGAAAATACGGGTGTCTAGTCATCTTCTCTAGTACAAATCAAGAAAAAGCCAAAGCTTAGAAATCAATCAGACAAAACCTCAGACGAGTTGACAACCCTGATCCCAACTTGAAAATTTCTGACGGAAAACAAAAAGAGGGCATTTAATTTTCCACTGAAGAACAGTAACGTTTTATTTTTTCTAGATCTTAAAAACAAACTCACAATGTCAAAATCTTGGTTACAAGAAGTATTCTCTGGTCAAGCCTACACTTGACCACGCACCAGTGCGAGATTTTTACAGGTTTTGGCATCGGTGTCCAGAAAAAAATTATTCGACACGAGCGCGCATTCGTGCACAATCAGTGCCGATAAAATGTTTTTTTTTTGTAGGGCTAGCAATATTAAAGAAATACGTCTTGATCTCGAAAAATTCGACATTCAGTAAAATGAATGAAAACAAAACGGAAATTACGAGAAAACAGCGTCGAATCAAGCTGATGATCATCATTAATTATTATTATGATTTAACATTTCTGCTTATAGTTCGAATGCGAAACAGGTTTTCAGTAAACATACACATTATACTTTGAGATAAGATGCAGTCAACGGAAGATAAACTTAAAAGCACAGCAAAATAGAAACTACAATCTTCCATATGTCTGGTGTATGTAACCAGTATGTTCGGTAAGAATAATACAGTTTTACCTTCGATCTTCTAGCATATCCAGGTCGACGAAAACTGGCATTTAATTATTCATTAACAGCCTCTTAACTGTGTAAAAATCGAATGAAACCTAGCATTTAACAGCCATTATAATGACTTTTTTCAGACAAGTGAAAATAATGCCAGATTATCGTCAATGTCCGAAAAAATGGCACTTTATGAACACTATTAAATGGCATTTTCGTCCATTTATTAGACCGAGTTAACTAACGCCAAATAAATATGCCTGTTCCATGTCCGTTTCGAGATAGTGTTTCTCCATTTCAAAATGGCAAAAGACTGATCATAAATTGGCATTTAACAGCCACTTTATGGTCACGAAGTCATTCACCGTTTTAATCTGAAAGCCGTGTCTAGAAAACGGCAATAAAAGTCACAATTAACTGGCAATTAATGTGTAAAAATGGCCTTGAAACTGTAACCATTAAATGAGTGCTTTTAGATCGTTTTTTGCCGTTTTAATAAATGTTACCTTAAGGCATTAAAATATTTCCAATTATAATGGCAAAAAAAACCGTCAAATAATGGGATCGAACGCCAAGGAAATGCCATTTAATTGCTTGTTAATGGCATATTAAAAGGCATTTAATTGGCCATTAATTACACCATTTTCAACATCCTGGGTAGTTAGTTAATGAACGTAATGTAGATAATGGAAATATAAGTGGAAAATAAGTCGAAAAATGGTTGTTTTCCGCCAGCCGTCAATTGACGGTTATTTTTGACGGCTAGCGGAAAACAATAAATCTCGAAAGCCTCGCGCGTGCATGAACGAAACTTTGGTTTGTCTTGAATGGACGTTAATCTAAGCGAATCAAAAGCGTGTCCTGAATCTCTATGTGGTTTCAGTTGTACCATTGCAGAATAATCACTTTAATCATAACTATGCTTAGATCATGTCGGAGCAGCGTTTCTTTCATCTATAGTACGTTTATTTGTTTGAATCATACAATTATTATCTATGTCTGTATCCTAACGACATCTTATATATAAAAAAAAAGAAAGTCTTTCTGAATTTTGTTTATCTCGGTTATCAGCTGCTATGTCTGTAATTAAGAAGTACATTAATTCAAGAGAAGTGACTTTCTAAACATCTAAGAAGTTGCTTGTAAATTTGACAATTAATTATTAAATGAAAAAATATTCTAACTTCTATAAATTGCAATAACAAACTTATGCTAAAAATCCAATAGGATAATTAATTTTAACGATTCATACTGGATTTATATTCAAGAATTTGTTCTAGAATTTGTTCTACAAACATTTCTGAAGACTTGCGTGTGAGGTATTTCTAAAATTGAACAAAATTCTGATCAGTCATATTATCGATATGTCTCTCGATCTCATTGATTACTAATATCTAATGTAGCGTTTTCCAAATGGGGTTCCATAGAACCCTGGGGTTTCGTGAAGTGAAACCAAGGGTTCCGCGAGAAAAAAATAAGAAGATAAAAATTAATTTCACCACATAAAAAAAATTACGTAGTCTTAAATAATTTTTGTCAAATATTATGTCAAAATACTACTGGAGTTCCGCAAAGTTTTAAATTTTATGAAAGGGTTTCATGGCTAAAATAAATTGGGAAACGCTGATCTAATGTATCTGCTATTAGTTTGATTGAATGGAACACACATATAATCTAACTATATGCTATCCTTTTTTTTATGCTTGCAAAAGAAAATTGAGGTATACACATACGACTTTTTATTTCATTCACATTTATTTTGTTATCATTGTAGAAGAACTAACTCTGTTTTATGTTACTAAAAAAAAATCAAGAACGTAATTTACATTTACTGACGATACTAATCTTAATCATCATCACCCATAGATATATCATACTTCCGACAAAAAGAGTCACCGTTTCTTCTTCCCTTCGCTCGTATATATATAGATGATGTCAATCATCAGCAGTAGTTGGTTTGTGATATACACCATAACAGAACAAAAATGCTTTCTAATAGAGAATACAATTTCTGGATCGGATCTCACACTTTTTTTATTCTCTCTATTTTTCTTTTTCCCTTCGTTTATTCTTCGTTATTTGTTTTATCACTATGTACTAATATCGGCAATGTTACAATATTTTTTGTGTTTAGGGGATGATGAAGAGATGATTATGAAGATGAAGAAGAAGAAAAAAAAGAAAGAAGAATGAATCCTTGAATGCTGATGAAAGCAATGTAATTAACTATAGAAAAAAAAAATGTGTGCATAAGTATATCTAGAATATACATATATCTAGAGTATGAATTCTTCACCTATAACTCTTACAATCACTTTTGGATCATAATCTTTACAATTAGAAAGTTATTTCTAAACATTTTTTTCTTGAAAATATGAGCGTTTCTAGAAATCAATAATACATGAACTTGAGAAATGTACACACATAAGAATAAAGTAGATAACACTCGATTATTGCGGAAGATGAAAATTTTTTACATTTTAGGAAATTTTTTGGTTCACAGATCCATTGAGAATAGTAGAGAGAGGTATACAATGAACAGTAATAAGACTATTATAGAGAAGAGTGATGATGTTAACTCGAGCGCAATGATAACACGAAGAGAACAGTGTTCATGTCATCTTGAGTAAAGCAACCCCTTGTTTTTCGTTTATAATTGTAAAAATCTTTATCCTTCTCCTTCCTTATTTTTATTGATCGACTAGAATGTTTGTCATCTCATTTCATATATTTTGGACTTTGGAGAGATACGAAGCAGAAACACATACAAATAAAATACCATAATGGAAAAAATGCTGAATATACGTCAAGGATTGATGTGACGAAAGTATTAGAATAACCTCTTTTCTAATTTATTATGTCCAAGACTTTTCTATCCAGATCTATATATTAATGATGTAAGACGTGATGCTACCACTAAAAAAATTGTGAGTTTTGTTATACACATTTATATTGTGTGCGTGTTATTATTATATAAGTCACTACTCCAAGAACAGAAGAAAAAAAAACAGAGAGAGAGAGGGAGAGAGAAAGAGAGAGAGAGAGAGAAACTGGAAAATACGCCTCTCCCCTTCTAAACATCAGCACATCATATCAACAATGATTAGTAAAAAAAACTAGCTGCTGTTGTGTTATAGTGTGATCATATGTTTATTCTTTTTTTTCTCTTCTTCCCCTCACACAACTCAACTAAATATCATCTTCGATATTCGATACTAAATGTATCATCTACGTACGTATATATACACATCTAATATGCTGTATATGACAATCATGCCTAAATAGTAAAACAAACTATAGTCAGCATCATTTTTCCCTATTATCAACAATAACTTTGAGTTTAAAAAGTAAACTTTTTAGTTATTATTTTAATTATGACATTTGATAATTATTATAAAAATATTCGTTGTACAATATGTTACTCATTGCTATCTATAAAACGTAGTGGAAAATGTATAAAATCTGATACAATTGAACGTTTATGTTTAAAACAAAAACATAAATTAATAACATCAGAAAAATCAAAATTTTTTCGTTTATGGACAAAAAATACTCAATTAAGTTTAACAAATAGAAATTCAACAACAACATTTGTCTGTTATCGTTGTTGTGAAACGTTAAAACGTTTAGAACAAATTCAATTAGAATATTCAAAATTAAATTATGAACGACATGTATTACTTAAAAATTTAGAATATAATTTACAAAAGAGAGTTAATATTATACAAGCACAATTTTATCATCACCAGGTATCATCAGTCAAGCGTCATACAATAGAACATGAAAATGTAAGTATTCTAAGTTTATTTTATTTTCATTTAAAATTTCTTTTATTTAATAGAAATCATTTGAAAATATCAATAACAAGCATCATGATTTAACAACAACTCAACCGAAGATTGAGAATTCAACATCATCGTTAGTTGGAGCAAAACGACGAAAATGTAAAATAACATGTAAAATAAATGTGGATGCAATGGAAAAGGTATAGATTTATTAAAATTATTTATATCACTTTTTCTCTCTCAGAATATAAATTTATGTTATTTTACAACAAAAACTTTTGTTCATTTTAGAATATCGATTCATTGTTGAAACGCAATGATAATAATAAAAGTCGTGAGTCCCAAATGTTATTGCCCAATTGCATGAAGATAATCTTGGAACAGTTAACTACTTGTTTGTCAGAACTTATATTCTAGTATTAAATTTTAGACTTTAAATCAACATTACCAACAATGAATTGCTCACAATATTCGCACTGTGAATCATCATCATCGTCATCTAAAAAAAATCATAATTTCACATATGGTTCGTGTTCAGATCCGTTCAACAATCAACCATTAAGTGCTTCGTCTACTGACAATGATCATGATCAACAATATCAACAATCATTTTCATCATCAAATAATAATGGTAATGGTTTACATAAATCTCTCAATTTTTCTGCTCAATCATCGTCTGCTCAATTTCTCGATACCGGTGCTCTAATTGCTATTGTTTCGACTCCAATGGGAACTATGCCAACAATTTTATCAAATCCATTTAATATCAAACCCACTCCTCCGTCTCATCGACCGTTAAAAACGTTAACATCAAATAATAAAACAACAGCATCAACAATATCAGATTGTGTGGATCAAAAAGAGCCGACAATATCATCATCATCTTTTTCTAGCCTAAAAAAGTTTCCCTGTTTACAATGCGGTCGTGATTTTTCGAATAAATCAAATTTGAATCGTCATCATAGTATTGTACACGTTGCTATTCGTAGTTTTGAATGTTTGAGATGTCCAAAAAAGTTTAAATTACGACAAGGTCTCAAAACTCATATGCAACGATGTCACGGGGTAAATACGGATGAACCAACACTTGTAAAACAGAACGGAGGAAAATATTAGCTCATTAATTATTTTTTGTTGTTTCCATAATCAGTGTGAAACGAACAGTATGATGGTGCTATACATTTTCATATTGTTTATTATCTATAATATCATTTTAATAAAAGAAATATAATTTATATAAATTATTAGTTCTTGAACTTCGAATAGGATTTGAATATCTGTGAACAAAAGTTAAAAATAAACAAAAAAAAAGGCTAATTCTATGTTCTTTCTTATAACGGATAACAATTCAGGAACAATCACAAGTATCAATTACTGAACTACTGCTAAAGTCAGTTACCAGAACAGATACATACACAATTACTAGTTTTATTAAAGAACACTGTATATGTCATACTAATTTCTAAACAATCACCGAACTCTGATGTAGAACCAAAGGTAGATTATACGAAAAACTTTTGGTAGGTTTATTGTTATTAGTTATATAGTAGACAAAGCTCCATTGGTGGACGGAACAACGATAATTAGCCATTTTAGAATATATTCTCATAAAATTTACAAACAAATATCACATGTCATTATTCAGCTCAAATTGAAATTTTGTCTGCTGTACTGTATATAGCTGAAATTAACATCTATTTAAACATAATTATTATTTTATCATACCAAGTAAATCTTTTTGTTTCTTCTAGGTCAACTCTTACACGAAACTACCATGGGTATTTTATCATAACAATGATAATGGTATATTACATATGCATTTATTAGAAGTACTTGATTATGTTGATTATGTAATACAAAAATGTTATCAATTATACAAGAGATCAGTCACCGTCACTACTGTAGGCTATTTTAAATGTGTAACTGGTAGTAGGAGATAATACCAACATGTTTAAACAGATCGATGAGCACATGAGGCTAAACTAGACATTTGCATAGAGTGCCAAGTTTTGTTCTTCTATTTTCAAACAAAACTTAAATCATTATTTTCAACAATCAATTGATTTAATAATGTTCATATACGATCCCTATTAGATTAGTTAAACATTTTATAGTTTAATTCTGAGACGACTCATACCCTTAAAAGAAGTTTTTATCTATCTCAGAAAAATATCTTATGAGAGATTAGTTGCACGCATAATTTCTTATCTCCTTCTAGACCTAATCTAATCCAAGCCTACCTTCTCTTCCATCCCAATTACCTTCCACGCTTCAGCTCAAAACTCTTCTCGACCAAAGCTTCCACCACTACGCTAATTATCATGTAAAGTGGATAATTATAAACAGTACCGGTACGACATATTACACTCAATGTTTCAGCAATAACTGTTTTTAGATCAAACGTTTTGCCTTGTACAACATAATACAGCATAGAGCATTCATCCGAAACTTGATCATTGGCCAGTGGAAATTTTAGATAGTATTATTCTCAATTTTTTCCATCTACTTTTTTAACATTTCTGTTTCATTTTTGTTTTTGTACTAAACCCTTCTAAAAACTGCGCGAGAAACCTATATGCTGCAGAATAAAATAAATAGACATTACATTGACTTTTTTCATTATATATAAGGGTTAACATAAGTTCCAAGGAAGATTGTGAATTTTTACATATGTTCGTTAAAAAATTGTATGTAAAACATACCATCAGTACTCAATGTATGTAATTTGTGATATAAAAATGCTCTCCTTAGAAATAAGTGTACAAATTAAGATAAACAATTCTTAGATATAGACTCTTATTGTAACATTTATATTAGCTTACGTGATGTTTTTTTTATTACGTTTCCGATCAAACTATACTAGACACTATGAGCGTTTAGTAGCTTTTTTCGGATACGTATACGTCAAAAAGCAACTGACAAATGTGTGAATTAATGACCATTTCTATATTTTCGTAATTCCAGTTTGATTAGATCAATTAAATATCTTTTTATTTGTCTATTCGAGTAATGCAATATGAGTAATATCATAGAACATATTTGTCGCTGATAGTTGAATCAGAACCTAAACACGTTATGTTAAATGAATATTGCATCAATGCATTTACAAATGTATTAACTTATAAAAATAATCGTCATTGTAAGCGAAATATGTAAATCAAAATCGAAATAAGTATCCTAATAATAGAAGTAAATAGCGTATACATCACTGTGTACCATGAGAAGCACTCAACTATTTGGATGTTTTTTTCCGGATAAATAATTGCAAATAATACACAATACAATAGGGATACGTCAGATATTGTTTAAAAGAAGCGAGAAGATTTGAGCAGCGGCTATCCGATTTCGTTCAACAAATTTGTCCACAAAAGCTTTCATAACTAAGATATCTTGACTAAAAAACTCATAGTGCTGCCACTGAATATGATCTCTACTATATTCTTCATCTCAGAGTTATTTGCCTTTATTGGTAAAAAATAGTATCTGGGAAGATGATAAACATGAAGACTTTGTGAGAATACGTAAAAACTATTTATTACATGGTTCTTGCGATATATCAACTATTTTATGAAAATATTGGCCGTATGAAGCCACTTGGCTCGGAATAAGTGAGGATGAGGTTTTGCAAACCTGTAAAGCATTAACGCTTAACGCATACATCAAACATGAATTCAAACTATATTTATACAAAGATATTGGGCGTGTTCATGTCAAAAAAAACAACAGGTAAAAACACCCTGATATATCACATTAGAAAAGAATTAAGCTGAAGAAGCTGTTGGACTCGAAATAATTGGTGGTATTCTATTTAGAGTTCTAAATGACTGTACTTTAGACTGTTGTTCAACATTATCCTCATCTGAATTATCGTCTCGCAATATTTGTTTAGCTGTTAAAACAATATCATTATGATTCGCTATTGGACGAAGTGGTCGTTTATCATCATGAAATCCAAAATATTTTGATAAACCAGTCTAAAATATTAGAAAAAATACTTCTATTTCATATTCCTAAGAAGTTATAATCCATCCACAGCATACCTGATATCGTCTTGGATCTCCCTTTTTCAGACGCCTATCTTCATACAGTACACCAGGTACTGGTTGAATTAAATCTCCGACGTCAGTCGATTGTTCTGGTACAACTAGAAATTAAAAACGGTTAAATTAAAATTGAAGCATAGATAAACAAAAATAAAAAACACAAACCTAATTTAATCGATTGAAATCCATCTTGTGATCGTTCTTTTTTGGATTCACGTTGGACATTCAAAGCAGGTCTTGTGTCAATAACAATTTTTCGTGGTTTGATTACATCACATTTTACACGTATACTAAATGCAAAAAGGAGATACTTACCACATTTTTCTCAATGTTATTCTCGCCACTAGTTACAAACCTTTTGGGTGGTAATTTATCTGGATCAAGTTTCATTATTGTGGCAACATTGCCGAATTCATCTAATTCTAATTCACGATAACCTTGTGGACGACTTAAAATACTCTAGATGGAATAAAAATAATTTATTCTCTTTCAAAAACTAAACACAGTTATCAAAGTTTACTTTTAGAATCGAGTGTGCAGCTACTGGCGCTTTATTAATTAACTCTTCTATGTGTTGATCATCGAATAATCTTGATCTAACGTCATCAGTTTTCTTCAAGCCAGTATACGATGATTTTGTAGTTACTGATTGACTATCCACGGTCAGAAGTGTAAGCGAACGTTTTGTCTGTCTACTTTGTTTACGTTTTTTTACATCGTTAGGAGGTTTTGAGTCTGTTGGTGGAAAAAATAATTCGGCTAATGGTTCTAACTAGAAAAAGAAAAATACTGTTCATTCTGTTGCTAAGAAGTCTACATCTTACTTTAGGTGTTTGTATAACCAATATATCATGATTATAGGGACGTTTGTCAGTTTGTTGATCGGACTGTTGTTCAACTTCATCCGCGATATATTTTGCCGCCGGTTCAATTCTATTCAATTCTGAGGGATCAAACGTAGTATGTTCAGCTAATATCGAATCATTTGGTATTAATTTATTTTCAGTATTTTCATGCTCGTATGCGAGAGTCTCATTTCGTTGTTTTTTTGGGATGATTTGTTGTTGTTTGGCACCTGACAATGATGAGGAACCAGATGAAACTGACGCATGATCAGAATGAATGTGTGGGATTTCACCTTCAGATGGTAAACTAAATGAAATAGAATTGAAATTAACTACAATGATATTATTGTAAAACGATACTGACACATACATTTGTGTTTCCTCTCTACAAGCCGGTACAACTCCTTCACCAAAATTGTCCATATTCGAAGGTATTGGCTCTGAAATAAGTGAATGATTTTCACTATACAATCATTTTTTCTATCAAATGAATAAACTTTACCATCATCTTCTGTCCAAAATGTTCCTTGTGTTGGTTGAGGTTCATCTCGTTCGAGAAATGCCCACTAATAAAAGAAGAGTAAACTAACTTCAACAAACGATTGTTGTTCATTACCTGAATCACATTCGATAAAGCATTTTTGACCATCACGGTTGTGTACGGTAACAATTGTTTTGAAATATATATTTTTTCAATTTGTTTCGATGTTTGATTCCAAATATCATCAATAATATCGGCAATAAAATCTTCTGTTTCATCATTCTCTATTAAATTATACCTAAAAACGAAAGAAATATTTCCTTTCAAGATTAGAAAAAATAAACCTTTTTTCTCTAAATACCAATCATTTTCACTAAATTTTCCAGGAACAATTTCCAGTACACTAGCTGGTAGTTTGTCTGCTCTTGGATCTTTTACTTTTTTTTGCGCCGGGCGACTTTGTTTCGATTGCGCCCGAGACGTTGCCATTGTAAATCGAAACTAAATAGGTATATCTAGAGAAGAAAATAGTCGTCGATTTTGTGATCACTTCAAGCAGTCATTAACAATCACTTTTCCTATTTGATATGCAGAAATACTATTAAAATAGTTCGATCTGCTGTGTTAAATCAATCGTTTGAAGAAAATGAGTCAAAGCAATGTTTCGAGAGGTTGCAAGTTTGAAGACTTTTGTGCAAGAAGGAAGCCGTCATTACAGGGATTTCTATTCTGCAGTAGCAACGATAAAACAACTCACTGCACCTTTTTTTCTTATCTATTATCAATCCAGCACAAAAAAATTATTTCGCTTTTACATCTAGCTGCCATCTTTTCATTCATTACCCTAACAAAGACCTCTCTCTTTTATCATTCAAGAAATCAAACATGATTTTTGAAATGTTATTGAGCTATTAGCTCAATAAGTTAAATCATAACTCGATAATCGAGTTACGATTTAACTTAATGTCTGTAAGCAAGTGAAGCTTTTGATAACTATAGCCTGCTATATTTTATGGCGTTAGTATACGCTGCTTTGATTATTTGAAAATAAGTATTCACATTACCTTCCCCCAACTCACCGTTCCCGAACAGAAGCTGCTCTTTTGTTACTGAGAGTTATTACTAAAGCAGAACCTTCTGTAGATTTGTGTAGTGCATATCTAGTAGAAGTATCGTGTATAGAGATGTAAGGCGATCAGCTGCAGCCGCGCCGATGATATACATCGCTCTAGTGAATTATCTATAGATATAAATGTTCACGTGGAAAAAACTGCAAATAAATTCTCTTGCGTTCTTGCAGTTAGACAGAAAAGTACAGCCTATCCACCCCTGATTAGTGCCTATTTCTTGGAAAACGTCAAGACCACTCCAAGGTTTACTGTTTATCTGATCAGTAGAAAAAACAGATTTTCTTGACTTGTTCTTATCACTTTCGTGGTCTGGTCTTGGAGCTGATCAGGACAAGAAAATAAAAACAGGAAACGACAACTGTAAGTAAATAAGTCTCTATGAACTAATTTATTCTAAAAGATGAAGTATTTTACAGGATGAGCACAAAACAATTTTAAAGAGAGAGGAAGTAAGATTGTTGAATGCTTCACATTCGGCGAACATAACCGTATTGGTAAAATGCACAAGTAAATGAGCCAAAACACGCCAACCCCTCTCACTTTCATTTTGAGATCAAGTTAGTTTTGAGACTCCAGAGTTTGTCCGAAAATCAGATGGTTTGGTACTGTGCACAGTGGGTAATCATGTGGACATTAGGTGAAAAAACGAAAATGAATCAATTCAACGAATTTTTTACCCAAGGTAGACCTACCAACGATACATATATACTGATAGCGCAAACTAGTGCAAATGCTCCTGGATCGGGTTATAGGTTTTCCAAAAAACTCTCGGTTTTCAGATAATTTAGGTTTTTCTCAGTTTAGTAGCACTTAAATTAAAAAATAAGGTGATATTCGGAATCAGCGTGAAAAACTGCGTCGATTGGTGTATAATTCATCTGGGTCAGAAATTTTTTTTACTCGGACCATTATTTTGCGACCAGTATTATCGTCCGTAATGACGTTAAACTAAGCCAAGGAAAGGTTGTTGATGGTTATGGTATTGTTCTAACTTCGTGTCTAATATTTGTCAACTGCTTAATCGTTACACAATTCATTTTTATTATTGGATCTGTACGTAACTGGATTATGAATAAAAATACAAGAAGACGAATTAACTCAAAGGGTTCGCAAGGCGATCACCACCCTTTGGCTCTGATCTGTTGGAGCAGGCGTCGACCCGTTCTCAAGCATGGATATACATAACCTGTTATAACAAGTTGATTATGAAGGACTTCCACTTTACCCGAAGTGGCTAGCGGAGAAGGGTAGGAAGGCTGTGAAGTTTTAAATTCGTCCACATTGTGGTCCCATGAATTACGGGATAGAGGCAGAGCCTTCGGATTTATTATTAAATGATTTATATAAATTGTATTATTACACTTGTAATAAAGACGTAGATTTAACGGTTACAGCAATATACGAATATCTCGACGTTGAACGATGCGAAGAAAATACAATTGAAATTTCTACAGTACTAGACGTACATACAGCGAAAAATAAAAATCGATTCGATGCATGCCGTCGTTTGAGTAACCAAAGACGAGAAACAGAATTTCAAAATATTGTTCTTCGAAAAAGTGAATTGAAACAACGGCAAAATCCACCTAAAAGAACCACACGAGATTTCAGTTCCGTTGGAACTAAACAAAAGAAAAGAAAATTGACAGACTTGAATAATGAATTAGACGACTTTGCTAGGGACAATAGCATATCAGTAAATCAGGTACTCGGCTTTTTAATCCAACAACGTAACGACCGAGATAATAAAAAATTGGCGGAGATAGGCAAACAGCCCTATGAGACTGGAGATCTGCAAGATACGAAAAAACAGTTGGACTACGACGAAACATTAGCTATGAAGTCGCATCTAGAACTAAGTCGTAATCAAGTGGATTTTCTTAAAGGATTTTTACATCCATATATTAAAATATCGAATAGAGAATATGTACGGAATTACTGGAATGATCTACTTCCGGCTATTGCTCCGTGGCGCAATAACACCGAAATGCTCATAGCAGATAGGGAAACGGTAATAATTATTACGATAAAGCGACTCATCGAAATGCTACGTAAGCAAAATACCAGTGTACCAACTAAACTCGAATATCGAGAAAAGACCGGTCACGACGGAGCCGGTAACATGTCTATTTATAAATCAAAGGATACGCCAATGCAGAATACGAATATTTTTAGTAAAATGTTCGTACCATTGTCACTGAAAGATTCAACGGGAGAGGTTGTATGGAGAAATGAATCTCCTAATAGTTCACGTCGGTGTCGTCCGTTAGGATTAATAGCTGAGAAAGAATCTACTAAATTATTATGGTTTGTCAATGGTGTTTTTGAACCAGGAGAGAAGAGTCTAATGCAAAATGGCATCAAAGTCGAATATAATAATGTAGAATACGAAGTTAAAATAGTCATTGAAAGTAGTATGAAAGATTTGAACCTGCGGACGACAGAGTCTGGTCTCAGAGGAGCCGACTGTTTGTTACGACCGACAGACTGAAAAGATCCCGATAAGATAAAAGAAATTGATTATTTCGTGATAGATAGAACGGCGAAAAAAACCCTTGATCTCTATAAGAAAATGGTTAACGATGACTGTAAAATACCACGAAAGAAAGACGACTACACGACGAGACAAGAGCTAACGAATGAACCACTATCTGCATCGAATCAACACTATCTTACAATAACGCACCAATATATAAATGGAATTAGTTGATTCTTAAAAATAATGTATTATTTACGAGCAGATCTACTTCAGTGGTCAGAACGTGGTGAAGCGGCAAAGGAAAATATTTTGTAGGCAAGACAAGTGGTCTTAAGGGAAACTGAATCTTCGACGAATTTACGACTCGATCAAGTCGATTCGACTGGTAATACCGGCTCCAGCACTACGAGAGGTCAGGACTGTAAGTTTTTCGCTTTTGAAACACGTAATTCAATAATTGCTACAATTCCTAAACAACATCAAAATAATTTCAAAAAACTACTCCAATTGTATTCAGTTATGTTGGGAGTAGTCTCGTCACCAGAACGAATTATAATACAAAAGTTTAGGAAGCTAACTACGGAGCTAGCTTCATTAGTAGCAAACGAATTCAGCTGGATCGAGTATAGTATGACAGTTCACAGCGTCGTATTCCATGCCGCTCAATTGATCTACAGAAACAATTGTATTGGACTTGGTGAATTGAGTGAGGAAGGATTGGAGAGTACCAATAAGGACATTCGGAATTTCCGAGAATTTCTTGCACGTAAGTGTAGTCATTTGGAAAACATAAGCAACGTCTTTAATAGATTATTTATAAGAAGCGATCCAGTTATCAATTACATCATTGAAAATTCAAAGAAGAAACGTTCAACAACGGACAAACGCGTTCTCACCTGTGTCACTGAAGATGATAGCTTAGTAAATGACATATTTGAACCACCGTAAAGATCAAAATCAATTATATAGTAAAAGGTTGCAATGATTCATTCGGCAATATATCGAAAGTTGCGCGTCTCACTTGATAGAACCGATGATTCACCAATGATAGAACCGCTTTAAGATCAGAGTTTGTCTATCTACTCGTAATTTTTGATGTAGCTTTGAATGAAACTTTGTAACTATTAACATCAAAGCCAAAGTTTCGATTCACATTTAAAGAAGAGCTAAGAAATATTAAAAAGATCAACAACCGAAATATAATCAAAATAACTCGTCTAAATTCTAGTGACTTGGCTTCTACGAAGAACAACAGAGAAGCCAAGGGAAAGTGGAGGTAGGACACTAGGCAAGAGCAGAGAAATTCCATTTTAGGTAACCCAAAAAGAAAGCGCAGAGAAGAAAAAAGTAGAATAAGTTTGACGTTAGTTTTAAGAAAAAATTAAGTTTTTAGAGATCTGTTTTTCTAGAAGACCAGTTTTTGAGATGCATGAACAGGTTTTAGAGTGAAAATATGAAATGTGGATACTCAAAAAGCTATAAAAGACTATTTCTCCGAAAAATTCTGAGAATTTTTAGTCTTTTCGAATTTTTGAAGTCCTTGGTTGTCTAGAAACTCTCTTTGAAAGCTGTTTTGGATTTTCTAAAGAGTACCACTGGAAAGAGCGTGGTCGATAACCTATAGAAAACAGCTTCTCATGCAACCAGATAGCTTTTTAGTCAAATGTCCACATGCCTAGCGAAAATTGTCTACTGTGCTGTGACCTGAAAAATTAGAACATGCTCAGATAGGAGAACAGGGAGTAAAATTGTTGCACGCTTTCTCTGAATCTGTGATCTCACTTTTTGTTCACACTGACGTTTTCTTTTGTCATATAGGACAGCCACACAGACATTAATGATTAATCCTTTTGCTAAATGCCTCTGTCTTGAAGACAGAAGCTCCCAATAGGAGCTATCCGACTGCTGAGGCGATGAATGGTAGTCAATTACGAGATTGAAGAAATAGCATTAGGGCACCTACCTATTAATATAATATTTGTTGAAGTTAATGACTTATCTTTAGCGATATGCCGCAAATCGTGCGCACGAATAACAAAGAACCAGAATAATACTGTGAGAAGAAAAGTAAGCAAAATGAATGGTAGAATACTTAAAGCCGAGATGGGCAAGTCGGAGCCACGACTCGGACTCGAGTCGCATTTTTCTATGACTCGGACTCGAGATGAAAGACTCAATAAACTTGAAAAACTGACTCGAGTCAGTCATGTGCAACTTGGGATTGTTATGATGGTGTTTATTATATTTGCTACATAAAAAAACAGAAAACGTAGTAAATAAATTTATTATTATATTATTATAAAACAAAAACAAACAACAAAGAAAATAAGAAGTGTAGAGCTACTAATATCATTATTAGGCTCTGACAAAGTCCACCAACTTTTTTCGAACTTTCCAGATGTGTTTATTAGGGAACAAAATGACGATAAAGAAAATATTCACAACAAAAAACACAAGAATGTTCCTCACTCTTATTCTACTGATAAAAACGTATATCGAATATATGCACATTTATCTGAGTCTTTTTATCTGAGTGAGAACCATTCTTGCTCTTTTTGTTGCGAATATTTTCTTTGTCGTCGTTTTATTCCCTGATAAACACATCTCGAAAGCTCGGAAAAAATTGTGGACTTTGTTACAGCGTAATGATGATATTAGTAATTATATGCTCCTTATTTTCTTTATTATTCTCTACTACTCTTCCTTCTAATTATATAGACTTGGAAAGAATTTGCAGCAGATGGAGATATCGCTCGATTTTCAAACTAGATTAGTTTTATGTATATATCTTGGAACACAACATGAGAATTTGTTCATTTTTAAGCAGATAATTAGCTATATTATTAATTTTGATAGACAAAGAAAGAATATAGAATATAGAAAGAATGATCGAAAGGCCGATTTAATTGCATATAAACTGTGAAGAAATAGTAGATTTTTTATGAGAAGTAAGTTACTTAGACTATAGTAAGAAAAACGTGTTCTTCTTGTTTCCAGAGAACAAGTTGAAGTTTCATTCAAATTCTTTGAAATAAAGAAGTTGTTATTTTTCAACAAAAAATGAGCTTTTCACTCATTTTAGTTTTTCCGTTCATTTTAGATCAGAACTTTCGCTTTTCATGACTTGGAAAACATACGATTTCTATTGAGTTTTTTAAAGATCTCGAAGTTTTAAAGAGGAAAAGAAAATCACATATGTCAATCACCGATTTCTAATAGGAATTAAGCGCATGAGCTTTCCTCATAAAAACGTAAACTTATTTTCAAAAATTTCTATTTATGAACAGCAATGTGTACACTTTAAGGACTATTTGTTCTTGATAATAGTTCTAAAATTCGACCTACGAATTGAGTAGCTAGGACGTCTGAAACCTGATTCGACCCAGGTTGATTAGCTTCCAAACGAAGGTGGAATTAAGATGTGAGTTACACAGTTTCTTCACTTATGTAGATCTCCAGTTGACAATATTTATACCATTTCAAAAAATAATCCGTCGTATGATCACAGATATAGTATTGATTAAAGAAGTTGGCTGTACAAAGAAGGATTAAGATCCAGGTTGTTGGAAAAATGTGTTCTTCAATCTAAAGTTTTCTGGAAAACAAACGTTCCAAATAGGGATCTGGACAATGACAAAATCAATTTCTGTTTTCCGTAAAATGAAAAAATCAGTTTTGAAAAATTTCAGAAAACTCACATCAGATCCCATCTCGGACAAATAAAAAACAGAATTTCAGTTTTTGAAGAACTCGTTTTTTTTTCAAGTGTATAATGATCGTTTTCTGTGCAAAATTCAGTTGATGAGTCGCTGCTGTCTGTGTATCATTTCGCACCGGTGCCAAAAAAAATATATCATTCCGCACCAGTGCGCACCCGTGCCGTACGAGTACCAGTCGGCACTAGTGTACACCACTACCAGAGAAATGTTCAAGTTTCGCACCGGTGCCAAAAAAAATATATCATTCCGCACCGATGCGCACCAGTGCCGATAAAAACATTTTTTGTAGGGTTAGTTATTTTTCGTATATTATGTTCGTTTTAATTCTGCATATAGTCGGGGCCTTAGTGATGAAAACGTTAGCGCGATAATAATTTCTGTCTCTAATCTCACATTGAAGGGTACCTTTTTATTCTCGCATTTCTCTCGAACCGAGTTTAATAGTCCGAAACAGTGGAAATTTTACACACGTGAATAATTTAAGTTCATCTGGATTACCCATATTAACATAATGGCAGAAACTTTCTTCTTGTGAACAATTTTAAATAAGAATAGTGTTTTCAATAACTGTATAATTTGTTATATGATTCATTAATGTTGCGTTTGTATTCTTTTGTTGGACTTTCTAAAAGAAAGTCTTTCTTCTCCCCCTGGTAAAGTGGGTGAGTCTGATGGAGAGACAACTCCAGACGGTTTTATACCACTACATTCTGACGTGTATGATTCGTTAATAGATTGAATCCCATAACTCGATAAAGTGTCATTCGATGTCAGGAGCGTATCCAGGATTCTATCGACGGGGTGGCGATTTCTAAACGCTGTTGTCCGCGGTAGTATAAATATTTTTTCTAAGGAAGTCTAATAGTGTACTCGCAATAGAATTCCATTTGCGAGGAGGCGACGGTCGCCGGACCATCGTGGTGCTAGATTCGCCACTGATCGGTGTACATTGCGAAAACATGAGTGGTGAATTAAAATCGCTAACATGAATGGAACATTTCGCAGTATCGTACTTGCTATGGTAGTTTTAACCGAGTTTAACAGTCTGAAACAGTAAAAATTTTAAATTCACGGTGGATATCACAGTGGATTTTAGTTTTCCATGGTGCATTACAGTAAAAATCCCGCTTGTCCACCGTGCCATTAAAACCAGCGCCAACAGTGATCTGCCTAATTAGAATTCATCGGTGTTGATTTATTAACACCGATGAATCCTAACTGTCCGAACGATTTAACTGAATCGTTTTTGTCGACTTTAGATGGTAGACCACACTTTTAATTCTGTAATCCTGGTAGTGCCTTTCCTATCCGTCCAGTATAATAATAGTCCAGCCACATGAACGTTACTATTAAAGAAAGAATTGATGAAAAGGCTTTGCGTAGGAACAAGGTGGTCAAAATTCTTGATTTGCCTCGAAGACTCCTGACTTTCAGACTTTTTTCCTGATTTTTGCTGATTTTCAGTTATTTTCCTGCTTCGATTTTAGTGACATTTTGGACCAATAAAAACGGAGAAGAAAAAAAGAACTGTCGCACGGCTAAAAAAGGTCACTACAAAAGTTTCTAACATGATAATATCTTAAAATGCGCCTTGAAATTGTATTTTAACGTTTACCTTCTTGGAAAAATTACTTGAAATACTGTGTTTCTAGAATAATTTTGAAAAAGCCCCTTAAGAATAATCTCACTTAACAATTCCTCTTAGTTTTCCTCTTTAACCAAAAGTACCTAACGCTGAACGCTGATTGTTTTCTTTCTTGTTTAACTAGCTTAGAAAGTTTCTTGAAAGGAAGCACTATAAAAAACACCTGTAAAAAAATTGCTAATATAATATTATCTTGAAAAGGTGTCTTGAAATTGTTTCTTCTCATTAACTTTTTTGAAAAAGACCAAAAACGGAATCTTAGTTTTTCCTAGGCAAATCTAAGATTTGACTGAGATTCTAGTTTTCGCAAGCCAAAAGGGGAATATTAGTTTTGGGTAGACGAATTCAAGATTTCACCAAGATTCTAGTTTTGGCTATCCAGGTGGAACACGTCTTGTAAGATCTTGCAAGATCTGATGTTTTCTTGTGAAATCTTGTAATAAGGTCTTACGATATGATCATACAAGATCTTATTATAAGATAATATAAGATCTTATGGAATCTTGTAACTTCTTGTTATAAGATCCCGCAAGATCTGGTTATGAGAAGTGACAAGGTCTTGTAAGACCTTATGACAAGAATTCATATGATCTTGTAAGATCTTACAAAATCTTGTACCAGACATTGTTGACTTTTATATATTTTTTTGTCACAAGACTATATAAGATCTTACAAGATCATATGAATTCTTGTCATAAGATCTTACAAGATTTCATAAGATCGATGACTCATCTCTACCATATAAATTTTGCGACGTAATACAGTATATATATACAACATCATTCTCTTTGAAAGCTTCAAACTCTTTTCTCTTTTGAACTTCACACGACAGTTGAGCACATGCGAAGTACATGGTTAAGCAACGTAGCAAAAGACGGTCCTGTGGCCGTCTAGGGCCAAATGTTAGAAATTATATTAGAAAAAGAAAAATGCAGAGGTATAGAGGATTCGACAGGAAATGATCAAGCGTATGATCTTGTAAGATCGTATAAAATCTTGTGACTTCTTATAAGGTCGTATAATTTCTTATACCTTCTTTGTGTAAGATCTTATAAGATCATACAAGATCTTGTACATTCCTATGATAAGAAAAATCTTGTAAAATCTTATAAGAATCTTGCTACAAGATGTCATATGAAATCTTGTAAGATCTTATAGGAAATTGATAAGATCTTTTGAAATCTTATGATTTCTTATTACACGATCCCGGGATCATATATGATCTTGTTATCTAATCCTTGGACCTGGGTAGTCAAAAGTGAAATGTTAGTTTTCGCTGAAGAATTGTTAGCCAACACTAGAATCTCAATTTTGGATAGATAACTTTAAGATTTGACTGAATCTCAGTTTTGTCTAGGAACATCTAATATTTGACTGAATTCCAATTTTGGCTAGGTGGAAGTGGAATGTTAGTTTTGGCTGAGGAATTGTTAGCCAAACTAGAATCTGAGTTTTCGCTAGTCAAGAGTGGAATCTCAGTTTTGGCTGGACGAATCTAAGATTTGACTTAATTGGAGTTTTGGCTACAACTAGGAATGTTCAGTTCTAGGTTGCGGAACCGAGAACCGCGGTATTGGAACCGAAATGGCGGTCCGGTTCTCGACTTAGAACCGAAACGAAAGGAACCGCGGTTCCGGTTCCCGACTTAGATATAGGGATATAAGGACAATTTTCTTCTGTAGTAGAATTTAACACAAATATTTTCAAGATCTTTGCAGGACTTTTTAGGGAGTCATTTTAAACGAAACCCGATAGATGTACGAAAAATGCAATATTTTAAGAACGAAACGAAATCTCGAGAAAGAATAACTTTTTTTGTGCTGTTATGGCCAGTGGCCATCGTTGGGCATTGGCCAGTATAACGACATAATAATATTGGCTTTATCTCTTATCCGGAGACGAGTCGATAGGCTTGCGAGGTATAGAAGATCTCATGTAAAAGAAGTTGCGCACAAGTATACCTTATGAACGCTAAATATAGCTTTCTCAAAATAAAACTGTAGTATCTATGATTAAAAAAGTCTCGGTTCCAAAAAAAGAAACCGTCTACAAAACCGCGGTTCCGGTTCTTAACGAGAACTGAACATCCCTTGCTACAACATATATATACTTTCAAACATTTCCAACAGAAATATGTTAGATAGGAAAAAAAATATTAGTCCGTCGTCGGTGTCGACTTCAGGTAGTTAAGAAATGTAGTGACATTATACGATATCGGCGTGTGGCAAAGAAGACAGATATACAGTTAGGTATAATCAATATTGTGAAGAAGAAAGTATAGCATTCTGTTGAGCTTATCGTTTCATATGTGTGTTTTTATATCAAGTATCCGTAGATGCATGGTATGTCGTATTGTTTACTTATAACTTGCATTAAGGAAGATGATGCTTGTTAACGCGTTGGGCAGTGCCCTCTTTCGTCCTGTCTCTGTCTTCATTTTGGAATTCTCAGGAGTTTCATGCTCTTTAGTGGAGATCCATTTATTGAAAATGGCGAAATTTCTGAAGGTCATTGGACTGTTTTGAAAAAATTGTGGTAGTATGTTAAAAAACTGGAATCAATCAAAAAAAGTTTACTTGCCTTTTTTGTTAGGAACGACCAATGACTGGACTTTCCGCTGAGGGTTTTTTTCGGCATCTTGAAAATTTGTTCATGGTTAGAGCTTGTATTATGCCTCTAGCGATGCGTTTTAAAATTTTGTTTCCAGAGTATATGCAAAAAAAGCTGTAAGATTTAAGAATAGTTTGTCTGGATTTGTTCCATTGAATTACTGTTAAAAACAAAGGTTTTTTTAGTAAACAGTAGATGTCGCTTGTATTGCTCTTATCATGTCGGTTGCTATTCTAAAAGATAAAAATCATATCTCTTTTGATTGCTGAATTATCTATTTTTGTTAAAAACTTCAGAATTCATGAATTAAAGAATTACGTAAGAGTAATTTTAGCCTAGATACACTAAAAGAGACATGAGAGTGACTGAACACAAATCGTTTTTTAACTGATCATCATATTGACATTATTAGTTTTAGTTATCTCATTTTTCCTATTCATGTATGAGTGCCTTTTATTAACGGATTTTCAGATGCTATTGCTTATTTTTCTCTTTTAAATATGTAATTAATCCTTATATTTTTCGTTCTCGCGAATGAAATCATTTTTTCTTTATTATTTGTTGAAATGTCACCTCCAACATCCTCAGCTATGACAAATTCCGCTTCAAAACAAACATCAACATTTTCCTCAAACATTCACCAACAGCAACAACACCAATCAGGCCAACAATATTCAGAGAATGTTAGCTATACTCTATCCAATGTCCCAGAAACATTTTATGTCACGCCAGTGACTGAATTAGAAAAACTAGATGATTGGAAATATCCATCCGTATTTAATAAATTGAGACATGAACAAATCGATACGGTAGAGGAGGAAAATGTAGAATGGAGGTTAAAAGATAGAGTAAGTAAAAATAATTGTTTGTTTTGTATACAACTAATGTATCTTCACCTTTCTGTTTGTATCCATTAGATGAAAACTGTAAGTGTTGCACTTGTGATGTGCTTACATATCGGTGTTGATCCACCTGACATTACAAAAACAAATCCATGTTCAAAACTAGAATGTTGGATTGGTGAGTAGTAAAATTACTCAACGTCTCTCGGTGATCCTTAAAGGCGTATGTGTATTCGGTTAGATCCATTTTCAATGACACCTCGACGCGCAATAGAAACAATTGCAATTGAATTACAACGCCAATATGAACGATGGCAATCGAAAGCACGTTATAAATCAAGTTTAGATCCAACACAAGAAGATATTAAAAAATTATGCCTCACATTACGACGAAACGCTAAAGTACTTACTTAACTTCGAAAAGAATACTTTACAGTTTTCTCTCACATTTGTAGGATGAACGTATACTATTTCATTATAACGGTCATGGCGTTCCTCGTCCAACATCAAACGGCGAAATTTGGGTATTTAATAAGGTAAAATAGGCTCTCATAATGATTGATTATTGTTCATATTTGGAGAATGGAATAGAACTTGCGAAGGGAAATTCTGATAGACAAAATCAAGAAAAGAAAATATTAATCTTGGTCGGAAATCGAACAAGAAATGACAGTGGTCTGTAGCTAACGTTCTAACATCTAAGTTGCGAAGAGCGATCAAATCATATACTCTTGTGTCAAATGAATGATTTATGCTATATATTTTTTCTTTCGTTCGCCTATTCGATACGCTGCGCCGCAAAATCACATTTATTCATTGATTATTGTCTATTGTAGAATTTTACCCAGTATATTCCATTATCATTGTATGATCTTCAAAAATGGATGGGTAGTCCTTCAATCTACGTGTTTGATTGTTCAAATGCAGCTATAATCGTTAATTTATTTGTAAAATTTGCCGAACAAATTGGAAAAGAATTTGAAGTAAATATATTTTTTATTAAAATAGTATACTAGCGTAAAACACAGTCATCCTCTTATATCAATCGTAGGTAGAGTTTGTTTATTTATTTTAGGAAGCGCGTCGTACTACACCAAATGCTCCATGTCCTCCATTGGCTACGAATGACATTTTATTAGCTGCATGTAGTGAACAAGAATTATTGCCAATGAACGCTGAATTACCAGCTGATTTGTTTACTTCATGCTTAACAACACCAATTAAAATTGCATTAAGATGGTAATACAAGAGAAATGTTTATTTTCTTTTGTGCTGACGAGTGTATATGTATTTAGGTATGTTTTACAGAAGAATATAAGCCGATTAAATCCGACAATCACTTTGGAAATGATTGACAAGTCAGTATCGGTAAACGATGACCTTTTTTTTTCCAAACCTTTGACTTTTTCTTATAGAATTCCTGGGACAGTAACTGATCGTAAGTCAATGCTAGGTGAATTGAACTGGATATTTACAGCTGTCACAGATACGATTGCTTGGAACTCATTACCGAAAGAATTATTTCAGCGTTTATTTCGTCAAGATTTATTAGTAGCAAGTTTATTTCGAAATTTTTTATTGGCTGAAAGAATAATGAGATCATATGGATGTCATGTTGTATCGAGGCCAGAATTGCCACCAATGTTTGAGCATACTTTATGGTACGAAGAGACTTTGTTTAAACAGTTTCAAGATATTTTATTTCTGTTTAGGAATGCATGGGATATGGCTTTGGATTTATGCTTAAAACAATTGCCATCTGTTTTAAAACAACTGGAGGCGGGTGTACGGGAACCTCAATATGAACCAAATAGCTTTTTTGCTGATCAGTTAACAGCATTTCAAGTGTGGCTAGGAGAAAATACACTTTTATATCAAAATGATAAGATGATTAATCCAGAACAATTACCCATCGTTTTACAAGTAGGTGTACTGTAGGATACCTAAATGGCAGAAGAAACCCATTGAATTTATGAAACTAGAAATGAATTTTTGTAGACGACTTTGAGCGAAACATGATTTAGAAAATGTCAAGCAATCAATGTTAAAGATAGATTTGATAGACAAAGACATGAAAGGAAAATGTATGTCTCGATCGGGAATCGAACTCAGGACCTCCGATAACCCGCCAGAAGCTCTAGCAACTGATCTATTGAGACATGATCTAACATACTCAATTCATATGAATAATTTGAATTATCAGTCTCAGATAGCATCCCTCATACAACGAGAGTAGCACTGGCGACCTCATTACAAGAAAAAAAGATTCAGTTCTAGTAGAAAATTCATTTTTCAGATAAACTTGGAAATATAGTGTTAAGTTCTAGTTTCAACTTGTGTTCTAGGTTCTTCTAAGTCAATCACATCGTTTACGCGCATTAGACCTATTAGCAAAATTTCTTGATCTTGGTTCATGGGCTGTAAATCTGGTACGTCTTGAATCTCAATCACTGCATCAAAATAATCTAAATAATTGTTTGCCAATTATAGGCATTATCGGTTGGCATATTTCCATATGTTTTACGTTTATTACAAGCAACAAGTGATGATTTGAGACGTTATCTTGTATTTATTTGGGCAAAAATATTAGCCTTAGATAAAGTAAGTATAGCGGCGAAAGAGTTCAAGACTACGACTATTTCTAACTTTTAAGGTAAACGAGGCAGAAGAAAAACTAAAGTGGGAGAGTGAGGAGTGTAATATTAGACAGTTTTGCTTTGTTCCCTTTAGACACTGATTATCAGTTCTGTCTTCTCTTTCTTTTAGAGTTGTCAGGGAGATATTATTCGAGAAAAAGGTCACGACTACTTTATTCAAACGCTGACAGATGCTCGGATACCAAAGGATGTTCGAGCCTTGGCCGCATTCGATTTAACATGTCTGGTCGACAATAATTCTGCTGGACAAGTAAGTAGAGAGAATCTAAGAACGAACTCTTTTATTCAGTTGACGCGTCCTTAGTTGAAGGAAATGTTGTTTATTGTTGTACCTTTTAATTCTTATTTTGCGATTGATTAGAAACAATGGTTATCAGATTGTTTTCATTGTAGGAAGCTTTGCTATCATTGATCTCTCGTTCTTTTGATTTACTGAATACACCTTCGATTCAACTTGTCTCTTCATTATCATCCAATTCATTTTCAACATCCTGTTCTGATCATGATCTATTTTTATGGTTAACATTATTTTTGGCACAATGTTGGAAGAAAAATTCGAATGCATGTGAAAAAGCAATATTAAGTGGAGCTCCTGATCATTTACAACAACAATTGTTAAATAGTGATTCGGCAGAAGTACGAGCAGCAAGTGCCTATGCATTTGGAACATATTTATCTACTCAGGAATATAGTGAAAAACGAATTGAACAAAATAGAAATATAGCAACAATTTTATTAACGAGTATTTATGATTGTTCACCAATTGTTCGAAAGGTTAGTATTAACAGCTACACGTTGAAAGATTTTGTCTCCCTACCATAGTATTTAACTATATTCTAGGAAGTATTAGTTGCTCTATATTATTTTATGAATTTATTTCCAGTTCAAATTATCAATTCAATTAACGGAATGATTAGTAATGGACAAGCAGGTAAGATTGGACTTTTTATTTCAGATTTTTACTATCTCTCTTACAAGGCAGAAGAAAGGTTAATATAAGCAGGATGCAGAAAAGTGTAGTAAAACGCTGATTATCTCTATAACACTGATAAGATTACAGAGTACATTACTTTTGTGAAACTCCCTCACTATCTTCGAAGAAGAGGGAGTAACAGTTTTATGCCCCAAAATTGCTGTTTTTAAGATAAATTTACCTCCTCTCTTCTGGAGGACACACACTGTTAAAATACCGCACACAACCTCCTAAAGTGGTAGTCACAACCTCTTAAAAAGATTCGGAACGAGTTGTGTTAAAGCATCAAATTTCGAATATTAACAAACGGTCTATGTTAAACGAAATTCTAAAACAAAACATTCATATACTCCAGCTTACAGCCAAAGATAAATGTTTGGTTAGAAAAAAAATTTCATCCATGTTCTTTAAATTTCATTAGTATATTAAACTTTTATTTCAGTTTAGAACTAATTTTTTTTAAGACGAGACGTCTCAGTATTGAGAATTCCATCTTTTAGCACCTTTAGATGCTACCCTGCCAAGGTTTCTACTCTAAACCTTACAGAAATCATGCATCGCTCTGTTTAGACGGTATATGGATATCATCAAATCCAACTAAAACTAAAACAGCATCACAAACAATGAAAGAGACTAATTCATGTGAGTACAGATATTTCGGTTCATTATTTATTTTCAATGTAATGTCTATCTATTTATTTTTGTAGTATATAAAACCGTGTTTGACAAAGTTGTTGAAACAGTAATGGTTTTATACCAGAATGACCCATATCCGGAGATTGTTCAAATGGCAGAAAAAATTGTCAATCATTACAATCGACTAGTAAGAGATTGATTATTTTGCAGAAAACCATAGCTAATTAATAATATATGTGTGTGTGATCAGTTGTATTATTGGCCGCCTTTTATATTGTTGTTTTTCCGTTATATAGAAGATTTATCTTTTAAGATTGTTACGACAGAATCAGCAACGCTTAGAGGTCCAAGACGAACATCGACCGAGTAAATTATTTCAAAGTCATGGATCACTGAAACCATCTATCATGCTTTCTGTTATTTAGAGCAAAGAGTCGAACAACATCTGAGACACCAACGGCCGATATACCATCTGCAGCTATAACATCAGAAAAAATCGAACCATTAATATCTACAAAATTTTATCAGTGGTGCTGTAGTCGATTTAGAAAACCAAATACAGCTGTATGTATGTTAGCAAATAAAAGAGCTAGCTACTATTGGACGAAAACTTTGTGGACTATTTAGTAAGAATATCAATTATTGTTTGTTTCAGCGTGATATATCTCGTATGAACAGTGGCGATTGTTTTCTTCGTTATGGACGATACTGGCGTAATTATACAATTCGAGCAAATCAATGTCAACTAGTTGATTTTCAACGTATGAATGAATCAGTTGTAACAAAGTTAAATGCTATTCCAATATCAATAAGATTTCATCCATACGAAAATTATTTTATCACAGCTGATAAAGACTCTAATATTAGGTAGCACATCCTTTTGTTATGTATTAATGTTTTATCATATATCTTTGATAACTTTTTGGTACATTGATGCTCAGCTAGATTCTGTTGCTTATTTATTTTTAAGTTTCTATGAATTGATCGGTGGAAAAGCAGATAAAAAATATCAATTTACTGTTCCTCAAACAAATGCTTCATTACAAGCAAAAATACAATCAAAGATAACCAGTTTAGATTTTATGAATGCTCACGATCAGACACTTGTTTGTGTTGGCTCAAGTATGTTATGCAATATTCTTCAATATTCTATTACAACTACTATTCATTGATCTAGCTGATAATGCTATTCGAATTTATGAACCAAAATTTCCAAATACAAATGGTCCAGATGTATCTTCACATCGTCTAGTATCATCATGGATTGCTTTATACGATATTCATAGAATAGAAACACGAAAATGTAAATATTATTTATTGTTTATTATTATAAGAAACAGTCTTGTCACTTTGTTTTTATTTTTTAGCCTATAATCTTATATTTGATTGGAATCAAAACTTATCTCGATTTTATACATCCGGTGATGTTAATTGTGTAAGACTATGGGATGTTGAAAAGGAAAAGTGTCTACAAGAGATGCTAACTGGATCTCCAACTGGTGTAACAGCAATTTGTTCAGATAAAAATGGACATTGTGCTGTGGGATTAGCTGATGGCACATTAAGATTATTTGATGTTCGATCACGTGATAGTACATCAACAATTATATCAACAGATTCGAAACATCCACAAAGAGTACACATGAATTAAAAATTAAAACATAAAAGTTTAAATATATTTATTTATTTTTCTCTTAGATAATATCCGTGGCATTTTTACAAAGTGAACCAGATCGATTATTATCAATATCTGGTACCGGTGAATTACATCGTTGGGATAGACGAAATGGTGGAATTTATGCATTCCCATCGACAAAAGAAACAAATTCAAATTCAGTATTAGTCGCTGATGTTCATCCAGCAGCAAATGTTATTGCCATGTAAGTTTTGACTATATTAAAAAACGCAGATCAAGTAATGTTTTTATTTTTATAGTGCTAGACAATCAGAGTTACAGTTAATTAGTTGTCTTGGTGATAATATGGTTGATATTCGACATCCAAAATTATCTTGTGCAACATGTATGCATTTTCATCCGTATAAAGTAAGAGATCAAAAGACATTTTTTCATATACTCTTTCAATTATCTTGTCTATGTTTAGCAATTGTTAGCTGTTGGATTTAATGATAGTTTTGTATCGTTGTTTTCTGGTAAAATTTGATTAAAAAGATAAAAGTAAGAAATTTAATTATGAAAAAGTGATTTTTTCATAATTATTTCCTCTTTTAACATTATTGTTGCTCTCTCTTTTTTTATAAAGCGTTTTGTTCTTTCTCTTTCTGTGCTTGTCTATTTTGTTGTTTATTTCTATTATTATTATTATTATTATTATTATTATCATAAACTATTTTTTTTATAAATGGTTTTTTTTTTAATCTTTAGTAAAGACAGAAAGTTTGCGTTATTTAATTATCTTTTCTTACATGACTCATGTAGATCGTACCGGTCAGACTGAAGATGTAAAAATATTTTCGGATATCACTTTTATTTTCTGCAACACTTTATAGATATTTGCTTCTTTTTTCTTGTGTTTTTAATCATTGAACTACTACGCTCAATATTATTGAATATTTAAAGTTCCTTTTAAAGTTGTTGTCAACGACAGAACATCTCTATGCGTATTAACAGTTTTAGCTAATCAATTTATCTTTCACACATCTGTAACGAAAATCACGTTGTTTTTAGAAAAAAATCCTCTTCGTCATCCTGTTGACTATTTATGCACTCTTTCCATCCTCACCATCCGTTTTCTCCCCAGTCTTCTATTCATTGAGTCCTGTTGCCAGACAAATATGACTTTTTTTCAAAAACTACAGATTGTTTTTTTCAGAAACATGAACTTGTTTACTTTCGATGTAACGAGGGTTGCCAATTTTTAACCTGTCCCTGTAAGTATCTCTAAAATGAAAAATAGTTAGAGGAACAGTTTTTTACCAGGAACAAATCTTCAAATGGGAACTGTCCCTCGTGTATGTGAGGGGAGGACGTTTGGCAGTCCTGAATATAATCAACCTGAGTAACTGAGTAATCAACCTGGGTACCTGAGTAATCAATGATATTTTTTGAAATCTTGATTGCATATTGTTATTGGTTTAGCAAATAATCTTTGAGATAAAATAGTAGTTACTTGCTATTTACTTTTCTTCTAGATAAAATCTGTATTTATTTTTTAAAACTTATTTTCATTTTATCGGCAGCATGTCACCAACAAAGAAAGCAGGTATGTTTCCTTGTGTCCATCTGAACTTACTTGTTTGATATAATACGTTTACTATTTTAATTCAACAAGGAAAACAGCAATCATCAAGTAGACAACGAGGTATTTGGATTTCTTTTGACTTTTGATGTTGTTTTTGAACAATGTCACTGTCTTTCGTTTAGGCACTGGTACCAAAAAATCACCGACAAAACGATTAAATAATGAACAAAGTACGTTTAATTTTCAAGATTCACTCTGTGTCATCTATTTTAGGCATGAAATAGAGAAATAATGTACTTTTAGGTTCAGCATCAAATGATCAAAGTTCAACTTCTTCCGGTTCGCCAGCATTGACGGTAGAAATCCTTTCTCGCACTTCACATTCTTCATCTTCTCTATATGCTGAATTTGATTATTTCTTTAGAATTTTACTCCATCATCGTCCTTTAAAACTGTTACACCATATAATTATGTTGGCAAATGTCCATTAACTCGTTTTGGAGTCTATGGTATTATTGAAGAACTTGGTATTCCATTGTGTCCAGATGAATGTCAAACATCAACACATATACTTCGATATCATTTAGTCAATGTTCATCGTATGAATTATGAATGTGCAAAAAAGTTAATATTAGCTCTAATGAATAAAGCCGATGAAAATGAAATGGTTTTTAAAAATGATGAACATGTTGCTATATCAAATTTAAAATATCCATGTCCATTATCATCAAGAGATAATGAACAATTTAAAGATTATCCATTATGGAAAAATTGTCCATGTCTAATATCAAATGAAATGTGTGTTTTCCAATTAAGACCAAATGAATTAAAAAAACATTTGCGTTTACATCACAATATTGAAGATGATACAAGTTTACAGTATATATTAACAAATTCACCAGATTTTCTTCAATAGGTATGAGAAGGAAAACGTTAATTGCTTTTTAGTTAAAATGTCTCTATTGTTTATTTATTTAGATATCTGATTATGAGTGTATGTGTGTATGTTTACGTTGTGACAAGCAAGATGTTTTTTTCTTGACAATAAATACTTTTGACAAATTTTTTTGTAAAATTATCAGGAATTTTTTTTCTTCTATTATCAACAAAATGTGCAGATGTTTTTTTTTTCTCTT